GAGAGTAATTATTTAGCTAATCTTGGTCGCCCATCAATATTTTGAGTTTTCCTTTATCATTCAAAAAAAAAGTTTTATGTCTTAAACTAGTTTTTTTCAAGTGTGTTATCACCTGGAATAAGGTTATATTTTCGTATTCAATAAATATAAAATTATAAAAAAAAGACTATTTTTATTAACGATTATTTTTTAAACTTCAGCAGTTATGATACATTATATTTATTGTAAGAAAACTATTGATGCATTAATAAAGTAGCATTAAAAAAGTCTTGATATTTTTATTTGTGTCACGTTTTATGTAATTTAAACTAGTGTTTTAAAGAATTTTTATTGCACATTTGCTCTTTTAAAGGGACCACCAAGTCCCAAGACATGTTGTGTTCATATTAAAGAGAATGTTAAAAAAATGTCTGATCAAATTTTTTTTTGATTAAAACTTATTAATAAATGCATACCAAGAAATACAAATCTTGTTGTTTTAGTCGAAGCTTGTCTTCTCCATTTTCTGCAGTATTTGAAGTCTTTAAAATAAATGCGATTTTCCACGCGCATTATACAGACTTAATAATTTATTCAAGTGCGTTTAATTCATAGAAGTTTTAGTACATGACGTCATAGATTTTTTTTTTTGTTTGTTTAAAACACTAATTATTATTTTTTACATTCAATTTCCAAAATGTGTTTTTAAAAAAATTAAAAACAAACTATTATTTTATTTGCGCAACTTTTTTTAAATAATCGTCTAGACCACATGTGTTTTAATTTCTTTTGTTATAAGTTTTTCTTTCAAAATATTAGATAAAATAGTTTTTAACCTAAATAATAATGCACTTTTATTAATTTACATTGTAAATATTTAAAAAAAATTATTATCGCATCTTTTTTTCTGATTTTCAAAAATGTATTTTTTGGTATTAAGGTGATCTTATTTCATTTTTTATATTTCCATTATTATAACATCCGATATATATTATGGTGGGGGCTTAAAAATTAAAAAATTAATATATATCAATATTTATTTTACGGACATACATGGAGACATAATTAACTTGAATGTTCTTAAAACATCTTGCGGATAAAAAGAATATTTGCGAACACTACAAATTTACGTCAAATTTACGAACAAGCTAATTCTATTGGTTCAAAAAAAAGTTCTAGAGTATTCTGTTGAAATTAGCAATTGTATTATTCAAGATTTGTTGCGTTTTGAGATATCTAGCATAAAATGTTTTAATAATATATTATCAAATTAACTATTACTTTAATATTATGGCTCATTCTCGGAGCCACATCTGCAAAACGTAAATCTTTTAAACTATTATCATTTGTTTACAAAAATAAATGTTTTATAATATATATTTTTTAAATTGTCAAAATTTTGAAAGTTAATTTCAAATTATATATTTTATTAGTATATTCTTATTTTTTGTATCTCCTCCTAGTGCTTGGTTCAATTAATTGTTCGTTAGATTTGTTAGAACAACTTGCATTAAAATGTAAAGAACACACTCGTGAATCATCAGAGATATTATATAACTCGATTTAGCGCCATAGGGATCACTAGGTCCACCATTGCCGTGGCCCACAGCTCTGATAGCTACAAAAAAACAAAATATTTTTCAATATGAAGATTTTAGAAAATAAAATAACTAACTATAGTTAGCTATTTTAGTAAAATTTAATAGTAAAATTTTTAAAGAATTTCTAGAATGTTTCCAATGACGTCATGAACTAAAACTTCTATGAATTAAACGCACTTGAATAAATAATCAAGTCTGTATAATGTGCCTGGAAAATCGCATTTATTTTAAAGACTCCAAATACCGCAGAAAATAGAGAAAACAAGCTTCGACTAAAACAACAAGATTTGTTTTTCTTGGTATACATTTATTAATTAGTTTTGATCAAAAAAAATTTGCTCAGACATTTTTTTTTAACATTCCCTTTAATATGAACACAACATGTCTCGGGACTTGGTGATCCCTTTAAAGAGAGAAAGAAAAGTTTTTTGTAACTTTGAATGATCAATAATGGAAAATTTAAAATAACTTTCAATCTAAGTTATTCTTTAAAATAAAAATGTATCATTATATTTAAATTATTTTTAATATATAACAATGGAATGTTTACTATTATAGAGCTTATAAAAAAACTTTATTTGTATATTAAAATTTTTATTATATTATTTAAACAAAACATTTTCAAAAAACATTTTAACAAATTTAAATAAAAAAAATTTATTATGTAATTAAAAGTGTTTGATAAATAAATGTTATAACATAACAAATTTTTATAATTTAATTTCATAAAAATTAGTGCTAATTATCAACAGTTATTACTTCAAAACTTTCATTCTTTCTTTATAAAAAGCAAAAACCGGCGTTCTAATTTAAACAGAATGATGTAAGTTATTAGAAAAGAAGGAAAATAAATTTCTACAATCAGACTTTAAAGATGTTGCTATATTGTTATGTTAGATTAAAAAGTAATTAACAAAAGCTATTTTGTTGATAAAAAGTAGCAGTCTTTCAAAAACAAAGGAACAAATTTAACTTAAGCAGCAAAAATGTTCAATTTAAATGAGTAATTTAAATTATAAGTTAAAAAATGAACCAATTTAAATCAAATTAGTTTTAAATGGACCAATTTAAATCAAATTAGTTTTAATGCAATCAAGTCAACCTTCCAGGTATCTTGATTGCATCAAAACATTTTCAGTAGCCCTTCCAAAGATTCAGGTGGCATTAACCATTGGGCAACTGCAAGTGTACACTTGGCTACAACACTTTGCATGTTTTGATGATTTGTGTGTTTTTAAAATGTGCTGAAAAACTAAACTGAATAGTAAAATAAAAATAACCAGACCTCATACTGAAAAGATCAACAATTTTAATGAATAATAAAAGGAATAAAAGATAAGCCAGATATAATAAAAGCATAAAGTTAATATATTTTTTTAATGTCAAAGTGTCTCAGTTATTTGTTCAGACCTAATAATATTTTTAATTAAAAGGTATCTTAATCAATACTTTAATGCTAAGAATGCTATCAATACTTTAATGCTATTTTATTTTATTTAGAATTTATTCAAAGCATTTTTTCACTGTTTTTATTTTAATTTAAACAGCAAATAAAGATAAATTTTTAAAATCATGCACTCCTGTCTAAAAATGACCGTCCAGCCAGCACTTTTTTGTGTGTTGGCATTAAATTTTAAACAGAGAAGACATTGTGTTTCATGGTGGTATATAAATTTTAGCGTCAAATTTCAAATGAAGAGGTAGCTAACAATGGTAGTTTATTTTAGATAAAAGCATTAGATATTCACAAGAATTGTCACTTTGTATCCTGAAATTAAAAACCTAAATCAAAAAACACCTAGAAAACCTACAGTTTTTACAAATATGCAAGAATTAGAAGATGTTATTGAATTAGAACATGTTATTGCTGTTGCTGCTTAGATTTTTCTTTTTGATATCATGAATCTTTGTGTTTTAGGAAATTTGATTTTGGATATTGAAAGCAGAATTGTTCCTCGAATAGAATAGGTCTTTTATGTTTTAAAAACTCACAATGCTGATCTCACTCTTTGAATCAGTGAGTTAGAATACTCTTGGGCATCAGTTCCATCTTATGAAATTAACAAATTCTTTAATAATTTGAAAATTATATTAAAGTATGATAAAGAAATATCTTCTACCTTCTTTTCAAATTTTTAACTATGATGAAACCAATTTTTCAGGTTATTCTGGAATCAGACAATGTTTTTTTGAAAGAGGAAAAATATCCTGAACATATTCAAAACAACCTCTGATGAAATGGTTTATAAACATGACCATCTGTTAACAACGCAAACCAACGGTGGAATGCCTGATGTACAATATAATCAAAGTAAATGATCCTTCAGTAGTTCCAAGTTCTTATTGGTGATGGTCTAACCAGTCAATTATGTGAAAAGGTATTTAACCTGAAGAAAATAAAATTTTGTTTGTTTAATTGAAAAATCCATTTGTTTTAACAACCTAATGTTGCATTTTATGGACCTTCTAAATAATATTGGAGAAAAATACTTTATCAATAGAAAATCCATAAAAGCGCAGACAAATTCAGTAAAAGCACAGACAACTTCAAAAGATCAATTTCTATCTTTATTAAAAACTTTATTTACTTATATAAGTAAATTAGTAGCTGGTTTGTGGTATTTGCCCGTTAAATGCTAATATTGTCTTCAATTGTTTTCCAGATGCTGTTAAAAATATTGAAACTGTTGAAAACAATGTTAGCCTAGCAGTAGTTAATAGCTTAGCTGATCGCATCCTGTTAATGTTAAGGGAAAAGTATAGCCAAATATAAAGTAAAGCCGAAATAAAAATAATAATTTTTCTTGTCACTGGAAAAAGTGTTTCTTTAGATGATTTTCAGGCATCATTTAAAAAAATGCTCCACTTCTATCATCTTCTGTAAATGAATCTGGTAATATTTCATTTGAGTTATTCAATATTCATGTACATAAATAACAAATTAATGGAGACTCTATATGCTGTTAAAATATACCTATTATGACAAAAATCAATTAGGTGTTCATTGTAAAATAATATTTTATAGTTTTAGTTGTAATGAATTTCTGTGAACTGTTATTGTTTTTATTAAACTGTTAGACTGTTGTTTTTATTAAATTTTAAAACAAGTGTTTTATTTTTACTACAAACATACTCAAAGTTACCCCATTTGCAAGGTAAGTTTAAATGACTAACTAGATAAATATTATACTGAATCCTTTCATTTAAATTTATTTTAAATTTGAACTATGTAAGAATCAACCATAACCCCTATTAGCATTTTATTTAATTACAATTATTGTCAATAATGTAGGAAGAAAAAAAATATCTCAAAAACATTCAAAGTAACCCTTAATGATTGCTACTTCATACAACATCAGATTTTTTTTACTGAAGACACATGGTATTCCTTATCAGTAAATAACTTATCTTTTTATTTAGATAAAGAAACTTGAAGATTCGTTACGAAAGTCTGAAAATTCTGTATCCACAATGCAGCAAAAATATGATGAAAAATTGAAAAGAATATCTCCTTTAAACATTACATATGAATCTGATATGCAACAAGTTTATAATAAATGGGCAAAAGATGAAGAAAAAAGACTAGATTTTCTGCAAAGAACTCTTATTGATTTTCATAAATGTGTCAATATTTATGCTGATCCAAGGTTAAATTTTTATTATTTTTTTATTTTATTTTATAAATGTAAATTATTTTTTGATTTCAAGCATTTTAAACATTAAATTATATTACATAAAAATGATATATGGTCACTTAATAATTGTGTTTTTCATGCCTCTCTAAGCTATAAGCGTTTTTAATTTATAAAGTTCTTGTTTAAATTTTTTATTTTTTTATATTTGTAATCAGCGAATTTAAAGATTGTATGTGAAACTTTTTAAAATGATTCTGGTTGTCAATTTATTTTTAAATGATAAAAAAATTTATACATGAGGTTAAAGATAATTTTTGAATATATACTTGTTTAAAAATTATTATTTTTTTGGATATTATTTAATAAAATATAGTATTAACTTAAAAATATGTTTTAGTTATGTTTTAAAAAAGGACCTCATTTGTTTAATGACTTTATTATTTACAGACAAAGAAGGAAAAGACTTGTTAGCGATATAGTACTTCATTTAGCTGTTATTCATATTATAAATAATGATAAAAAGATGTTCAACTTAGTTCAGAATTAAACTGACATTCATAAATTATTTGAAGCTTACTTTTAAAATTTTAGTAATAATGATAATAAATTTATGTGAACTCAGACTGTTGTTGTTTTTATTAAATTTTAAAACAAAACATTATTTTTGAATATGTTTTGCTTTTGAAAGAAATATTAAAATTTTAAAAAATTATGCTCTGATTGGGTTTTTCTGTAATGATGCTAACCTTCATAGTTTACTTTAAGTATATTGAATTCAAAGCAATTCAACAAGTGTTAACCACAGGCTTCCCAGTTTGTCCCAAAATCCCAAAATGTTACTTTTTTGTCACAAAAAGCCATAATTTATATGGTTATGTCCTTAATTGTCCTAAAAGATTTTTTTAAATAAATGTTAATTTTTACAATAATAGATTTATAGTAATGTTATTTATGTGAGTACATGAATTAGAATGTTATCTGTAATTATCTATCCTCTATATCCATTAATTGGGCCACTCTTATTTTTAATATACATAAATGATCTTTACAAAGCTTCTAATTTAGCGACTATAATTTTTGCTGACGATACGAGTTTATTTCAGTCCAACAAAGACATTAAAATACTCTTTAACAATATGACTGAGGAACTTAAAAATATTTCATATTGGTTCAAAAAAAATAGGTTGTCTTTAAATACCGATAAAACAAAATGGATACTTTTTCATCCAACTTCTAAAAAAAATAAAATTCAAAATATCTTGCCTGACTTATATATTGACATAAGTACAGTAATAAAAAGAGAAAAAAAACAAAATTCTTAGGAGTTATAATAGATGAAAACTTATCTTGGAGGCAACAAATTGATAATATTTCAATGAATATTGCTAAAAGCATTGGAGTTCTATATAAAGTTAGACATATATTAAATAAACATCAATTAACACAACTATATTATTCATGTATTTATTGCCATTTAAATTATGCAAATATAATATGGGGAAGCGCTCACAAAACCAAACTTAAATCTCTCTATCGACATCAGAAACACGCAACTCGCACAATTAATTTTGCAAATCGTTTTTCAAGCTCAACACTACTTCTTAAAGAAATGAAAGTTTTGAATATTTACAAACTAAATGTTTTGAATATTTTATGTTTTATGTTTAAATGTAAAGAAAATATATCACCTAATGTATTTATAAATCTTTATAATTTGAAACCTAAAAACAAATATATTCTTCGTGCCAGTAAAAGTATCGAAGAGCCATTTTGCCAAACTAAATTTGACCAGTTTTGTGTTTCTTATCGTGGTCCTTCTCTTTGGAATAAAATAATTTTACCTAATTTTGATTTTTCTTTTAAATGGTCTTATTCTTCTTTTAAACGGAAAGTAAAAGAAATTATCTTTTCAACACAAAATATTTATCTATTTTTAGTATTTAAGTTGTTTTTTTTTTATTTATTTTGATTTATACTTTATTTTGTTTATTATATAGACTGTGAAGAATATTAGAATATTGTATTCTTTTTGTTATATAGATTGTAGATTGTAAAGGGCTTCATGATAAGATCCTGTGATCTTCTAGAAGTCCTGCCGGTAATATATTCAATGTAAATTTACTTTGTACATATTCTGGCAAACAAAATAAAAATAAAAAAAATAAAAATTATAGTTTAATTGTTTATTTATAATTATAAGATGTCAAAGAGAAAAACAAAGTATAATAAACTGTGGGAGTCTGAGTTTAACTGGATACAAGTTTGTCCTAGTGATCAGTATTCTGAAAGTTGCAAGTTATGCCAAAAAACCTTTTCTGTCAGTGGAAGTGGAGCTGGACAAGTAAGAAGCCATGCAATTAGCAAACTTCACACATCAAGGTTTAAAGAAAGAGAAAGGCAAACAGAATTTATTAAAGGTAAAGATAAAATACTTTATTAAGAGTTTCAAAGATTAGTTTCACTGTTGATAAAGAAATTTTAAAAGCCAAAATTATTTATAGTTTAAAGTGCATCTAACTATCCTTTTGCCTCAACCACTGAAGATGTTCCCAGATTCAAAAGTTGCTAAAGGATACAGACAAAGTGAAAATACACCATTCAATACGGCATCTTTCCATAAAATATAGTTCATATTTAAAAACATTGTTATTGGAGGACTTGAACGATACTGCTTTTACATTTAAATTTGACGAATCTACAACTCAACAAGTTAATAAACAGTATGATGGTTATGTACAATATTGATCTAAAAAGCACAAGTGCATTAAAATTGCACACTGTGGAACTGTCATGGTAGACTATTGTACTGCTAAAAAGTTGTTAGAACATTTTCTTGAACTTGTAGAGAAAGTTAAACTTAACATAAAATTTGTACTCCATATTGGTATGGATGGTCCTAATGTAAATATTAAGTTTGAGAGACTTATAAAGTTGTCAGAGAAAATGAAAAGTTTGAATACAAATATTATATCAATAGGCACATGCCCCCTGCATATAGTTCATAATGCATTTAGAGCAGGAGTTAATGTTTTAAATTTCAACCTTGACTCATTAGCAATCGATGTTAATTTTTTCTTTAAACATTCTGTTGCAAGACGATCAGACTATCGACAAATTGAAGATCTATCAGAAATTATTTCACATTTTATTCAAAGACATTCTTCTAAAAGATAGGTGACACTCAGAAGAATAAGTTCTCAGATTTTAGAACAACACAAGAATCTTTTTGAATATTTTATAAAATTTTTTCCAACAACTACATCTTTTAAATCAACTGTTAGAGATACTGAAAGATATAAGAGGATTACAGATATTATGAAATATCAATGCCTTATATTGCTTTTATAGAAAATGACTTTGAAATATTTTTAAAAACATTTGAATCAATTAAACCAAGAGTTCGCCTGATTTACTCTGAAATGTCAAAACTTCTCGTTGCACTAATGTCAAAGTTTATCAAAACTAAACCTCTATATGTTAATAATAATGGTAGCAATTCCATAAAATCTATTAATGAGTTGCTGGGAAAAAGCTTTTCAGCTCGCCTGTCTTGAAGTTTCAAAAATTTTATGTAGTTTTGATATCAATACATTAATCAATTCCTTTGAGACCAAAATTTAAATGATAGTGGTTCACCTAAGTTTTCTAATATTACATCCTTTTTCAAAGTTGCTTCTTCACTTTCGCATGGAAATAATGCTCCAGAGAATGGATTTTCAATTAACAAACACATTCAGTTACATGGTACTTCACTTGATCAGGATACAATTGAGGCTTTGAGGTTTTGTAAAATATACTATATTGAGCTTTGGATCCATACTTGATATTCATATAACTTTTATACAATCAGCTCACTCAAGTTACAAAACTGAACTGAAAGCTAAACGCAGGTTGAAAGAGGAAGAAGAAAAGCTTAAAAAAACTAAAGAATCCAAGGAGGCAAAAAAGCATGTTTTGGAAAATGAAAAACAAGCTATTCTTGCATCCATTCAAGTAAGTTATACTACACTTTATAAAAATTGTTTTACTGATGTGATTAGTTGTTGATTTCGATTTTTTTTATCAATGCATGAAGTAAAAGTTTTTTGTTTTTTTTTACATATAAAAGATGGTCTATCAGTTGCTATTTATTTTTTAAAGAAAATAGTGATTTGAAGAAGTGTCTGCAAGAAATGAATTGCAGCGAGCCCAGAGCCCAGTGTAAAACTGAAACCAGAATGAAAAGAAGACAAGAGTTTTTTGATATGCAAGTTGTATTAGAAAAAAGAAGTAAAGAACTGTCAGTTTAGTCAATTTAAAACTGTTGAAATACTATTTATTTTGCATTGAAACTCTATTCTAACTCTATATGAATTAGTTTTTTTTTTTTTTTTTTTTTTTTTTTGAATAAAACATCAGTAGAATGATATTAACTTTATAAAATAAAAAAATTTTATATTTTGTTTCTGTTACTCTTTTATAAGTCATGTAATAGAAGTTTAACTTTTTTACTTTGCTTGGTATTTCAGATATAAGTTTTTATTTGCAGACATTTTAAATGTAAGAGTTGTCATTGTTAAGTTCAAAAGTTTTTTGATTAAATTGTGTTTTGTTTATTGTCTACTTTGAATAAACGTAAACAATTTCCAAGGGTATTAAATTGTAAGCAATATATTATTAATAATTAATAATTGAAATTAAAAGGATGATATTCTCAAACCTAAATTTTAAAACCGAAAACTTATTTATGATTTTAGATTGTCCTAAAATGTCCTAAATTTTACTCTAATTTGTCCTAAAAAGTCATAAAAAACTTGTAAAATTGTCCCAAAATCATAAAATTTTATCATGTTTTAGGAGTGGGAAGCTTGTAACCATCAATGTTGCACTAATGTTGTATTAGTGTTGACAATTGTGCACACTTTTTAATCTGCAGAACTTCTAGCAAAGCAGAATCTTTTGACACCTAAATCCTAAAGGCAATGTCAATCAATACACAAGCGAATACCAAAGAAATAAACATTAACTGAATTTCTTAAATATCAGGCTTGGTCGGGAAGCAGGTGCGATCGCACTTAATAACTGACCACGGAAATAATATTTAGTTGCGAAAAACTGGCCAGATTTTTTAGTTGTTTAGATATCATTTAAGTTTATGTATGTTTCCTTGTTTGTCCGCAAAATAATAAGTTCATTTTGTCGTAAATTTTAAAATATTTTGTTTTACGGACTTATATGGAAATGTACATACACTTGAATGTTCTCAAACATCTTAGTGCAGAAAAATAAAAAAAGAATATTCGCAAACACAAAAAACCCGCCAAATCTACGAACAACTAATTCTATTGGTTCAAAAAATACTAACCGAAATATCTAGAGTATTCAAAAAAAACTAACCGAATATCCTGAAATATTTGTAAAAACTGTAATATTTGAATTTTGTTACGTTTTTGAGATTTCTAGCATAAATTATTTTATGAGTATACTATCAAACAAACTATTATTTTAATTATTGGAGCCACATCTACAAAGCCATAAATGTTTTAAACTAACGTTTGTTAACAATAATAAATATTTTAAATTTATATTTTTTAACTTATCAACATTTTCTAAATATATTTTAGATTTTATTAGTATATTCTTATTTTTTATATATAAGGGATGTATTTTTTATGTATGTAATGCATTTTTATGTATGTAATGTATTTTTATGTATGTAATGTATTTTTATGTAATTTTATGTATGTGTATTTTATTCAAATGTAACCTTTTAAAGCAATTTGTGCTATTGATTTTGTAAACAAAAATACTTTCAATGATAACTGCGTTTTCAATGAAATTATTAATAATCGTCAAAGTTAATACAAATAGTTTTAACCACTAATCCATTTTCCTCAGTGTACCCGATAACTGATTATTTCTCCGAGAAATAAAAGTTTTTAAGTTCTTAGAAATTGGTTTACTAACTTCAATTATTTTTGCTTCAGCCGTTCTTACAAACTCGCTATACTTAAAGTTACTTTTTTCTGTTTTAAATAATAATTTAAATTATGGAGCCCACTCACTAAACATCATCAGAGGTATTGTGAAGCAGTTCCGCTTCCTCCTCACAAAGTAATTTAACATTTTTTGTTAATTTCTATCTAGCTAATTGAATTTCTACAGTAACTCATTGATTTAATTATTTCATTTGTTCATCTTGTTAAGAAGAACTGTTTTAAATGTGTTAAACTTTTTAAACTACGCGAAGCATAAAACAGTTATAGAAAAAACTTTTTTATTTATAAATAAATCATCTAGCGTTAGTTTTATTGGTTGAATCTTGTTGGACTTTTCAGGGCCGGGGGCTGCATTATTTTGGCGGCATTTTTTATGTGCCACAGCGTAAAAATGACTAAAAAAAATACCGAATGGTCCTCTTGACTATTTCCCCTAACATTGTGAGTCCCAGGGCTATAGCCTTACTACCCCCACCCCACCTTCTCAATCCAGCACTGGAAATAAGACATAAGTATATAAATAAAAATTATATATACTCTTTGATAAATCGAAGAACATTTGTTTCTTTATAGTTGTTACTTTATATAAAAAATGTTGCTTTATTTTATAAAAAAAAGTTATAAAAGAGCAAATTTCAAAAATAATTGCTCTTCGCGTTAAAAGCTATTTTTCTTTTTTTAACTGTCTCTCGTCGGTTCAGTTAATCTTATTGCGCTTTTTTGTTTGTTTTTGAAATGTTCTCAAAATGACTAAAAAATCTGGCTGGTTTTTTGCAACTAAATAATATTTCCGTGGTCAATTATCAAGTGCGATCGCACCCGCTTCCTAACCAAGCTTGATATATATATATATATATGTATACATAAATATATATATATATATATATATATATATATATATATATATATTATATATATATATATATATTTATGTATACATATATATATATATATATATACACACACACATATATATATATATATACACACATATATATATATATATATATATATATATATATATATATATATATATATATGCACACTTACTAAAGTGTATTTTTATAAGCATTTGCTCACTTTTTTTGCTTACCTTAATCCATACGGCTTTTTTAGAAAAATAAGAAAAAAAACAAAGAATGATGAATGAAATGATTACTGCCCCATCCCAAACCCTCAGTCAATGTAGCAGCACTCCCTTGCGAGTCAGGCTATTTGTGAAACAATGTAGCAGCACTCTGTTGCGAGTCAGGCTTTAAAATATTTGATGTAGCAACACTCCCTTGTAGCAGCAGGCTATAAGATAGTCGATGTAGCAACATTCTGTGAATGTTATAAAAATATATTTTAATATAACAATAAAAACACCATTAATTTAAAAAAACTTTCTATTCATTATTATTGCGTTTTTTTTTAAAAACAATAAAATTTCATGTACGTCCGCATTAATTTAATTGCTTTGACATTTTGCCGACAAAAAAATGTAGCTTAATTGTCGAGGTAGCAAACTTGTTGTCGAAAGAGACTTTTTTTACATTAAAAGTCTTTTTCAACCACACTATAAAAATATATATATATATACACACTTATTAAAGCGTATTTTTATAAGTATTTGCTCACTTTTTTTGGTTACCTTATATTATATATATATATATATATATATATATATATATATATATATATATATATATATATATATATATATATATACACACATATATATAGGGCCTATTCTAGTAAAAAAATTTAAGTGGTGTTACCCCTCCATTGCAGAGAAATTTAGCGGAAAATTGGCGTTTATTCGCAAAAAAAATTAATATTTGCTGTAAAAAAAAAAAGGTCCTCAAATTTTAATTTGGGCTGCACCCAAATACGATCGACGTTGTCGAAAATATATATATGTGTGTGTGTATATATATATATATATATATATATATATATATATATATATATATATATATATATATATATATATATATATATATACAATACATATTTTACCTCTGAGAGTTTTTTACGCTTTATTTCAAAAGAAGAAGAAAAAAAATTATTTTTTAAGAAAAGCAATATTTTGGAGTTATTGTTTTATATTGGCTGGAAAATTGCGATTAAGAGTAGTCTTAGAGAAGTACCCTGGAGTTAATAGTTTAAGTTGTAAAAGTGAAAGTGAAACAGTGTAATCACCATGAAATAATACGATGTTCAACTTGCTTCTCTGTGCAGTGGTCTTGTTTGTCAAGATTCACAGGTAAAGATTTGAAAGAGGATTGTAACCACAAATATAAAAAAGCACTTCCTTGACTGTAGTTGCTCCTTATCCATTAGAAGGTGAACAACATTAAAAAAAAAGAAAAAAAAAATTATATTGCAAATAATGGACAATGAGTCTGCAACACATCAAAGTAGAGGGGAATGGTACAGAGAAATTTTTAAAAGTTATAATAATATATAACATAATTAATAACATTTATTTTATGGAGTATAACTAATGAATAAAAGTAATAAATAAAAAATGTCTACATAATAATCCTTTGTTTGTCTTTATATCCTTTGTTTGTTAGTCTAATAAAAATGTCTACGTAATAATTCTTTGTTTCTATTTATAGCCTTTGTTTGTTAGTCTAATAAAAATGTCTACATAATAATTCTTTGTTTGCATTTATATCCTTTGTTTGTTAGTCCAATAAAAATGTCTACATAATAAGCAAGTTTATGACTACAAAATTATCCTGAATAATCAGTTTAAATTTCTGAAAATTTAAGTCAAAATAAATTGTACGCTAAAGAACAAAAATAAAATCCTAACAAACATCTTAAAAAATTAAGTTTATTGCAACTTAGTTGTAAATTATTGCTAAAGTTTTACTAATTTTTTTTTGTGATTCTTTTTTTTTCTCTCTTTTAATTGCATATTTTTCCAAATACATGTACTGAAGTCTATCTTTATATTCAATTGTGTGCTTTAATGCTTCAATGAGTTTTTAATTTTAGATTAAATTCAATCACTTAAAATCAATGTAGACTGAATAAAAAAATATTTTTCGCATTAAATTTGGTTTAATTTTTAATTCGTTTTTTCTATTTTAGACTTAAAGAGTTGTTTGACAACCAAATAAATGCTGCTTATAATGCTAAAATTCAATATGACGTTAACTGGTGGTCAGAAAATTTTGGTGCTGGAATGCCAAAATATTGGCCAAAATTTGAGGTATATATTAAATTACTTAAAAATATGAATTTTTTAAAATTTTATTAAAATTTTACATTTGGTTGATTTATTTAGGTACAGGCACAGTGGTATTTAATTGACTTAATCTCTTAGATATCTGACATTGACTGATTTATTTAGGAATGAGCACAATTAAAAATGAATATATATTGAGAGAGGGTCTTGTTTGTTGCAGGGGGTTAGTCATAAGAAATTTGCAGTTTGTAAGCAACAAGTCAAGCAATGGATATTAAAGAAATACTTCATGGTTTTTTTTAATATTTGTTTATAAATTTATAACTAAGTATTTATCAATAAATACTTTTTAATTAAAAAAAAAATTTTATTGTTATTATTAACATCTTATAATTTTAAAAATATTAGTTTAAAAAATATTATTATAAAAATAATGCTAAACAATTTTCTTTTCTTTTTATTGCTGGTATGTTATAGTTAATTCCCATTCAAGTTATCCTGGACTTAATGGAGTCCAGGATAACTTGAATTTTTATAATCTCAAACTGTTTTCAACAGTTCTATGAAAGTAAGAACAATTACTTTACTATAATACTATATATATTCTTATATCAAATATTAGTTTAGTTGAACCGTTTTCCTTGGTCCCTTGAAGGTTTAAGTCAACAGGATTTAACATTTTTTTACAACATTTTTATAGATTTTACAACAAGATTTATATTGATTTTTTGTTAACTCATCAAGATTTTTGTATGTTTATATAGTTCTATATATTCATACTATTCTTTATCTCTGGTGCTAAAAAAAGTTCATTAAATACTTTAATTACTTTTTGATTACCATTTGTGGTATTGAGGGTACCATTTTTGGTTGTCAGAAGTAGAAAGCAACCAGGGTTGAAATTTGACTGGGCCGCGTTTGATAAAATACAGCTTAGCCGGGTTTGTGACCAGGGCTGCATAAACATTTATACATGCTAAAGTATATTTTTTTAATTCAAAATTCATGTTATATTTTGTGTATATATATATATATATATATATATATATATATATATATATATATATACACGCATATATAAAAATCATTATGATCAACATGATCATCATAATCATCATTGCTATCATCATTATCATCATCATCAGGCTTTACCCTTCCTTATTTTTATTTTTCTCAATAAACTATCTAGAGCATTTTCTTTCCTTAACTAAAGCTCATTCATTTAATATTTAAGGTACTCTCTTCAAGTTTTCTTACTTCTACCTTCACCATTTAATTCTGAAGCTGCTACCTCTCTACATGTTGAAACCTAAATCATTTTATTCTTACATTTATGTCCTTATTTTTCATACCCATCTTCATGTTTTCCTTTTATATACAACCTACAACTTTTTAAGTCTTCAGTTAACCATTTACTAGCTTTTTAACTTGTAGTTTTATGAGTCTTCTGACTAGGAAGTAAGCGGGGTCCTGGCTAAAAATGAGACTTTAGTGGTTTAGAAACAATAGCGGTTGCTTGCAACCTTATTGGAAGTAAATAAGAGTTTAAAAGTATATAAATATATGCCAGTATTTAATAAATAGTAAATGTAAGTATAAAATTATAATATATAAAGTATTATAAATTGTTTTCTAGCCCTGGCTATCAACCCCTGCTAAATCTTATAATTTTGCCAAGGTTGGGGCTGGGTTTGCAAAAAGTCTCATTTTTAGCCAGGGCCCCGCTCACTTCCTAGTCAGAAGACTCATAAAACTATTATTAAATTGCATTAAAAATCCATTTATGAAGAAATTTTCTTTTAGAAATTACATTAAAAACAAATAATAAGTTATGCTAAGAAACAAAAAAAAATTATGCAAAGTATAGAATATATTTATTTCATATTGTCATACTAATTTTTTTAAATTTAATTTAAATTGTTTTTTAATAAAAATTTTTATGTGATTTGGTATCATTTTATTCTCAGAGTTGATTTGTATTAGTAATGTACTCTAGGTTTTTAATAAAATATGAATTTAATCATAAACTGCTAGATTAATTAAATGAAAAAGTATTTTTAGTTTTAATCATATTTTAATGTTATTTATAATATTATTGCATAAGCGTTGTTTTAAGTATTGTTGCATAAATGTTGGCGTTTTCATATTTGCCTGTGAACTACTTTGAATTTTACAATGATTTTAAGGATATTTTTATGACAATTTTTTATTTAACATATACTATTTGTACAAACGAAAAAAGCGCTTTAAACATTTTTTTTAAACAATAACTCCAAAAAATCCATAATTAATTAGGTTTCACCAAAAATGTAGAGCTTTTATCCATGGATAACTATTTTTATTATTGTTTTTAATACCCATTGTAAATATAGTTTACTATCTTTATTTATATTTTTTGTTAAGTGCAAATAAAACAAAAATAAATTAGTTATTGAATAATTTAAAATTTTAGTTAAGTAGAATTGATATATATATATATATATATATATATATATATATATATATATATATATATATATATATATATATATATATATATATATATATACTTATTGTTAATTTTATAATAGTAATAAATATTTAATAAATAGTTTCCAGTAAATTGTTTAAATTATTTATTCAAAATTATTTAAACATGTGTTATTAAACATTTAATATTTAAGTAAAATAAAGACTAATTATGCTAATAATTATTATGTTGTTGTGGAAGTTGTACACACGATCACACACACATCACCCGTTTCTATTGATCTTGTTTCTATGATTATTTTTGCATATGTGTTTTTGTTTTAATTTGTTAGTAAAAAAGAGGTGCTTTTCTTGTAGGGATATTCACCGCTTGAATGGCATCATTGGAACCTTTGTCACTTAGCTAGAAATCAGTCTAAACAGTTGAGGAGATATACAACTAGGCCTAGACCTTATGAGCTTAAAAGCAGGATAAATGTCTTGGTAGAATGTTGTGTCTTTTTTATCCTCATAGTATAAATAGAGTTAATGTATTATGTGATCTCACAGATGTATAGTTAACATGTGATGTAATATCACAAATGTAGTAAAATTAGAGTTCGCTTATTCTTTGTAGTTATTTAATTTTCATGAGATGTTATTTCATTTTGTAAGTAATGCTTATATATCAGTAGATATGCTTATATATATAGGTATATTGGTAGATAATGTTTTTATATATAATAATATAGCTTGTTTGCTTATAAATATTGGTTGGTTGTGGATATTACTTTCATTAGTTGATTTTTGATATTATTTTAAAATCTATAGGTTGGTTGGTTTTTCATACAGAATGATCATTTTAATCTAATGATAAAATATTATAAGAAATAATTTTGAAAAATAAAATTATTGGCTAATATAAGATTTCAAAATATTTTTTTTAATAAATTTAAGACTTAAGATTAGAAAAAAGTTGTGGATGATTAATAATTGCAAAAAAATACATTATGTATACATTATTTTTTCTTACTTTTTCAACTCTGAGGTTTAGCATGATTTTTTAAATTAGTTCTAATGTGCGAAGTCAAGGGCTGTAGTTTTTCTATAGCTGCCATTTTTTTAATTATTCCCTAAATTTAAGGTATAATAATTTAATAAAAGATTTGTTAAACATTTGATTGATATTTATAATGTCATTTTCCAGAAAAATTATTTGAGGCATATTTATAAGAGTACAGAAATAGTTTTGAAATTATTTGAAAAAATTCTTAATTACACACTAATGCAAAAGTTGTTTAATTTTTTCCTATCTGTTTTACTTTAAATTATTTCTACCTGCTTTACATTTTTTTGTTCAAAATAATTTTTTTTTTGAATTCAAGATTTTTACTTATTACCTTCTTTTTTTTTTTTTATGGTGTCACTCTTTTTTTTTTTAAGGTGTCCCTTTTTTTTTTAAGGTGTCACTCTTTTTTTTTTTAAGGTGTAACTCTTTTAAAACCAAACATTTTTTACTCTTTTTTTTAAGGTGTCACTCTTTTTATTTAAGGTGTCACTCTTTTAAAACCAAACATTTTAGTAAACAATTTACTTGAGAAAAATGTTATATTTGATTTGTATTTTTTACACTTGTTGTAAAGTTGATTTTAGTTTTAAAAGTTATCTAGACTTAGAACCAATCACTATTTAGAAAATGTTGATTAGAAATACTAGAGATGCATAAAGTTTATTGATACCTAAAGCTTTTAAGTTATCTTTTTTGCTTCTTTTTAATACTTTATTTATTGTTTCCAATATGCATTGTTCCATTAATACAACATTTGCATTGTTTAAAGTAACTTGCCATTATTAGACAGTTGAGGAAATTTAATTGTAGGCAACTTACCGAACCTACTTTCACTAAGCGTAGAAGATGTTTGTAAAGATTGGACTTCCTAATGATAATATTACTATTAAAATAATAGTATTACTGATCTGCAGGTCAATACCTTCTAAGTCATTTGGTTGCAAAATTCCATAATATTTTATTTAAATTTTAAAATGTCATGAAAACCTATGCAAGCCACACAATTTGACTGTTAAGCTTTTAAAAAAATGTATGATGTGAATATCTTGAGTTGAACTATGAAAAAATAATTTATCTATGGACAATGAAAAAAATATTACAATACATATTGTGAAAAAAATAAAAATATTGCTTATACAGCAAATTATTTTAAAATAGTTTTAAAAAAGCTGTTTTAATTGCATATGGAGCCAGTGTAACGGCTACTTTTTATTTAGCAAGCTTTAACTTTTTTTATAAAAGCTTGTTTTAAATTCAGTTTGTTTTTTTCAAAAAACTATATTTGATATTGCTAACTGAGAGTAGCAAAACTCCTGGTAACATATTTACATGGTATCCTGGTAACATATACACTTTACATGGTATCCTGTTTGTATGAATATTTTTTAATAAATATTTTTTTAAAGGAACCTGGAGAATCAGTGATTGAACCTCATCAAATTGCACCTGTTGAATCATCTAGCAATCTTCATTCCAACTCTATTAATCAGAGAAATGGAGTTAAGTCTCAACAACAGGTTGTTAGCAATACTGTATCTAACTTGGCAAGTAATCCCTTTGTAAATGGCGAACGAGATGCAGGGTAATTCTTGTTTTTAATGTTTTGTTGCTGGGTTTTTTCGAGTTTATGCTGTTTAATTATAATAAAATACTTCCATAAAAGCTTAATTTTCATAGTATTTTTTTATCTAGAGGTTTTAAAAATGTAAAAATCTGAAACCAATACATGAAATGAATGAAATTTAATTGTTTATTATAAAAAACCATTTTTTTAAATTATAGAGATGATGATGATGATGATGATGAGTGGGATGCTCCTCTGCCAGAATTGATTCCTGGAGGTGGTATTCGCGTACGTGCAATATATGACTATACAAGGGTGGAAGATGATGAGTTATCTTTTAAAGCTGGTGATGTACTGATTAAGCTTACAGAAGAAGATGCACAGGGTTGGTGCCGAGGAAGTTTTAACGGACAGGAAGGATTATATCCTGCTAATTATGTTGGGGCAATATAAAAATTAAATATCCAGTATTTTGTATATAAATTTTACTATATATATATATATATATATATATATATATATATATATATATATATATATATATATATATATATATATATATATATATATATATATATATATATATATATATGTATGTATGTATGTATATATGTATGTATATAACTATTATTTTCAGTATATCTTATATATATCAAGTAAACATTTTTGTTTCAAAGTCAAACCATTTCGATAGTTCCATTGTCATCAAAAGATTAACTTTATAATTGTTTTATCTTTTAAATTAAAAAAAAGAATAAAATAAAATAATTATAAAGTAGCTTTTGTATCTCTGGTAAAATTAGCTTTGCTATTTAATGTTTTCTTTGTATTTTTTAGCAGTAGTCTTTCTTTTTATAATATACTTGAGTTTAATTGTATTATAGCCATGTTTATTAGAATATTTTACCATTTATATTGTATTTAATATTTTGCTTTGTCAAATTAAGTTTTAAAAACACTGTAGTATTTTTAGTATTCATATTGTTTCAATTTCATTTTCGTTGAAAATTTTTATATATTATCTTCTTTGGTTCATAAATATTGGTAATGTAGATCTTTTGCTGATATATATATATATATGTGCATAAATATTTATAAATATATCCTCTCTGTCAGTATATTATTTATATGCATATATATATATATATATATATATATATATATATATATATATATATATATATATTTATATATATATATTTATATATAAATATTTATATATAAATATTTATTTATATATATATAATTTGTGTATTGAATATATATATATAATTTATATATATGTATATATATATATATATATATATATATATATAATATATATATATATATATATATATATATATATTTATATATATGTAATTTGTGTATTGAATATTAATGAAGTTTATTTATTTCCTTACATTGGTTTCTTGTCTTTTTCTTTTTGTAAAATTATTTTAAATTAACGACTTTCAAAAACGAACTTATAGAAGAGATAAAGTTAAATTATATTTTCAAAATACTTTTGCTTTTTAATAAGCAGGAAATTGTCTCTTATATTGTGTATTTCTTAAATTACGAAATATTATGAACTTTGTTGTGTGCTACAAGTTATATTTTATCACTAGTTGAAAATATTTTTCAAAAAAAAAAAATATAGTTTTTTTTTTTTTTGGTCATGATAGTAGTATTTAAAATGCATTTCTTGTGTTTTAAACTAATACAAATAAAATGGAAAAAAAATTATTATTATTATTTTTTACATTAAAATATTTACAATATGTAAATTTTATTTTCATTAAAATATTTACTATTTGTAAACATTTATAAGGAAATGACGTAAATCAAAACAAATTCTTAAAAACATCTCAAGATCTCTGTTTAACGTTTACAAAACACTTCTAATGCCGACATAACTAATTTAACCGATTAGATTTATATCTTGTTAAGCTTTTAATACCGACAACACATTTTACTTTAATAATAGTTTATTTCAGGCCTATTTATTGGAGGTTTTGTTTATGCTAAAACTGTTGCTAGAAGTGAGAAGCCTAAAGTTTGAGGATGACCAGGGCCGTCAAGAGGGAGAGGCATACGTACCCCGTACATACCCCGGGTGCCAATATAATAGGGGCGCCAGAAGACGAAGAACAAAAAAATAATTGTATAAGTACTGAATATTAAAAAATATATATATATTTTTTTGCTGTTTCTATTGTTTGTATAGTGTGTATATGATCTATATTATAGGGTAAAAGTTTAGCTATTTTTTAAAAAATTTACGGTTTATTAGCCAACTGTCCAAAATTAAATTGCTATTTCAATCTTTAATAACAAGATAAGATTTTAAATACAAAACAGTAAAAAAAATCGTTTTTTTTGATTTGGTATAAAATAAATTTGCATCGTGACGTGCTTAGCAATTAACTCGCTTTATTTATATTTACCAAAGAATTAAAATTTTAAATAATTTTTTTTTTTTTTTTGTGAGGACCAGTCCAATAGACAATATATAGAGATCCGTTGTTCAACGCCACCTCTGGGCAAGTTTTATAACATCGGTAAGGAAAGAGGCGTGAACTTCCTTTCAAATGCTCATCCGCGGTGCTCTGTGATAAGACCGTAAGGACTTCTTGGGGCACTTGAAAGAAAAATAACAAATAATGTTAATACTTATAAAAGAAAAGGTTTTTTCAAGTTTATTGGTTGTTTATCTTGATCGGTGTTGCTAAAGCTACCATAATTTATAAAAATGGTTTAAGAAGTTTTTTTGAAATTTCGATTCAAGGGTCACATGCTTTTGTAGGATGGATAACGGGTTTGCTAACTAGAATCCTTTACCTTTATTGCCGAATGTATGATGGATTTATTAAACAGCGCTCACTTTTATTTTTCTTTCTTTTGTGCTTTGACTTCAACAAGAAATACTTGGAGATAAAAAATCTTATAAAAGTAAAATTTTACTTGCAGAAATGCCATAGCCAAGGTTACGACAACAGCTTACGGATGGAATTTAAATTGAGGCGCATGCTCTAATTTCGCAAATGAATCTGCAAAAACTGCGGCAACATCTTCATGTATTAATAAATTATGGCAGCATTCAAAACTTCAATTAAAAATTTGTATTCTTTTTTGCATTTATTTTTCGCTTTTTTTCAAAATTGAGAAAGTTCTAGATCTTTCACGCAAATCAAATCTCCCAAAGGATGCAAAGTCAAGACTTATAACTAAAAGCCGTGTAAAGTTACAGAGAAATTATTAAAAATTGGCTTATGAAACTCTGCACACAATCTAATTTCAAAGTCTCAACATGAATTTGTACTTCATTACAAGGCTTCATTACAAACTTGATTAAATCCCGCAACATTTTAAATTGTTGACATAAACTTTACCGACTTTGCTAAAACATTCGACACAGTGTCACACAACAACCTTTTCATAAAGTATTTGTCTGTGGAATTTGAGATAAATTATTAAACTGAATCACTGGTTTGCTCGCTGATGATCAACAAAGAGTTGTAATTGAAGAATAAACGTCTTAGTGGGAAGTACAGCCCTCAAGGATTAGCTCTTGCACCACTATTATTTTTATACTTTTTCTATGAGTTACCAAGTTGCATTTATTATCATACCAAATTATGCGTTGGTGATGGCAAGATCATAGATGTTATCGATGCCCATCAATTTTCTTCTGACTGCGCTGTAAATTGTTCACGCAACGGGCTTATGAATTTCAGTGTGGAAAAGTGCAAAGTAATGCAAGTTGGTTGTCGGATAAACTAATTAATAATATAAATACAATGACTGAAATTGGCCTTAACGGACACAATTTAATACCAACACTTATTGAGCCAACCTTGAAGTATTAATATACAACAACCTTAAATTGAAAGAGAAAATAGAAGCTCTACTCAAACGTTCCCAACAACGCGCAATATCGTTAATTAGACATTTTAGTTACAATCAAAAACTAAACATACTCGGCTTAACTACACTCAAAGAACAGAGAATTTGAAGTGACCTATTACTAGAATCCTATTACGAAAATCGTTTTTCTCATTCAAATATTTTATTTAAAAACGTTAAAGCACTTAACGTTTACGAACTCAATGTCTATAATATTTTATGTTTTATGTTTTGTTGTAAAAGTGAACGACCATTGTTCAATTTCAAAGATCTTTTTACTTATAAAGCTATAAACAAATATGCTTTACGAAATAATAATTTATTAATTGAACCCTTTTGTCAAACAAAGTTTAATCAATTTTGCATAAACTATAGAGCACCGTATTTATGGAACAAAATTGTTGTTCCAAATTTTGATTTGTCAATTTCGTTTTCCGTTTTTAAAACTAAATTAAAAAACTATATTTTTTCTACTGGCAATATATATAAATATTTTTGAAATGTAAAATTCTTTTTTTTTACTCTGGATATTTTGTAAAATTATTTTCAGTTTTTGTTTCTTCTACATTGTTATTAGTTATTTGATCAATTGTATTTTATTTTATTATATATACACGTATTATATCTTTTATATGGTTCTGGCGACAAGATCATTTGGATCTTCTTTCAGATACCAAGTTTATATATTGTTATATTGTTATATTACGATTAATAATTGTAAACTGAAAAAAAAAAAAAAAATAAAAAATAAAAAAAAAAAAAGAATACAAAATTGCTCATTATTTACAACAAGTTGAATTTTATGTTCTACAACTACGGTTTTTCTCCCCAAACTAAGCAAACTTTTTAAAACACCAACGAATCAAAGATTATCTAAAACTTCAGCACCTTTTTACAAACCATTTGTAAACTGTTAGAATAAATCAAAGCTGGATGTAATTGATACACCTAAAGTAAACTTTTTTAAGCAGTAGCAAAGGAAAACCTGGTGGTTTTCTTCACCAAAATTAAACTTTTTATGTATAAGCTTTATTGATTATTATTATAAATAAATAAAATGTAATTCTATTATTATATACTATTATTATAGAATTAAATAAAATTATTATAATAATTATACAAAAATAAAGTTCTTAAATGGAAGTTTTACAAGTTTCCAGACCTAACGATTAAACTCAGATTGCTGCTATATAATCAATTTCAATACGACGACGAGGAATTCATGCTGTCCGACAGCCGTTGTTTTACCTTCAACTAAAATATCAACCAATGATGAGTAGATGAATCTTCTTGGCTAAGAAACAGAATTTTTGGCTAAATGAATGATGATAGCATAACCATATTGAACCTGGAAATGTAGTTTTTTGCGATTATATTCCTGAATATCCGCTTGAAGTGAACATCTTCAATCTAAAATTGGCATCATGGTAACTGTTTATTTAGGATACTTGTTCATCTGGTTGAATGATTAGGAATCGATAAAAATTAAACTAATAAAATAGAATGTAACTTGATGAAAGATATTTTACATGAGTCTTTGTTTTTCACTTCTAAAAATACTTTAGGCTTTCTCAACAAAATGTACTCAAAGGTTTTATAACCTATTTTTCAGAT